AAAATAATTCCATTTTTTTGTTAGTCAATTATTTCTTTGTTTCTCTCACATTTTGTCTTTCTTAGTATAAGTCAATAATGAACCACGTGAAAGAGACATGTGCAGCCTTCGTCAAGGATGACAAACTGTTGTTTAATTTGACTTGCCAAAAGGTCTTTCTTGAGTTGAATTTTATTGTTGATCTCCAGGTCTTTCTCCTCCATTGCACTAGTCAATGTTAAGCCTTACTAGATTTTTATTTAATTTGTATATACTTATTCACCGTTTTAGATCTCAAAGATGTATACTCAATTAATTGTAATAAGATATGTATTACAGCAGTAAGTTCTGAATTTACCATTGCGAGCGAGCAACCACCACTTATTTGATAGAGTTAAGAGACAAATTTTAATAGATTAAGCATAAAGAGAGGTTTTAAGTGATCAATATTTTGTTCCAATCTCTTGTAAGGGTAGAGTTAAGTGATCATGTAAATTTAATAATATTATCAAGACACATAGTTTATTAGTACATGGTATCAGATTACCTAGGTTTCTCATTGATTTTAAAGGTACGAATAGTTCTTCTCTATGTGAAATTAACCATTCTCTAGGCTTAGAACTTGCATAAAATATAGATGAGCAATCATAAAGTAAGCGAAATCACCATATATTTCTTCACCTTTTGCTTCAACTATTTTATAGAAAGTGTTACATACAGCCATTGTCTTGAAAAAAATTGTTTGTTAAGCAGTTTAAGATTGAGTAGAAATCTTCAAGGACAAGCTCAAGCAAGAAAAAATAGCTCTTGTAGCAGTATTTTTCAAGCACAATGATCGTTTACTTGTTGAGTTAAGAACTTTTTCGAAAAGAAGCTATATGCTAGTTCTCCAAGTGCACATTTTGGCTAGGCTCGTGGTATTCTTGAGTCACGTGGTATCTAGTGATGGGATCAAGGTGGATCCGAAAAAGATTGAGGCACTTCAGAGTTGGCCCAGACCTTCTACCGCTACTGAGATCCGAAGTTTCTTAGGCCTGGCTGGGTATTATCGCCAGCTTTGTGGAGGAATTTTCATCTATTGCAGCCCCATTGACTTAGTTGACTCAGAAGGACGCTCCATTCAGGGTGTCAGATGAGTGTGAGGAGAGCTTTAGAAGCTCAAGACGACATTAACTATGGTTGTAATGTTGGTTTTGCCTTCAGGATCGGGATCATACAGTCTATCATGATGCTTCGAGGGTTGGTCTTGGATGTTTATTGATGCAGGACGATATGGTGGTTGCCTACGTATCGTATTAGCTGAAATCCCATGAGTAAAACTATCCGGTGCACGATTTAGAGTTAGCTGCTATTGTACACACGCTCAAGATTTGGAGACATTATTTATATGGCATGTCTTATGAGGTATATACAGATCGCCGGAGTCTCCAGCATCTGTTTAAATATAAAGATTTGAATTTGAGGCGGCGGAGATGGTTGGAGCAACTGAAGAACTATGATATCACAATTCTTTATCATCCTGGGAAGGCGAATGTATTAGTTGATGCCTTGAGTAGAAAGGTGGAGAGCATGGGGAATTTGGCATTTATTCGGCTGTTGAGAGACCTTTAGCTATGGATATTAAGGCTTTGGCCAATAGGTTTGTGAAGTTGGATATCTTGGAGCCCAGCATGGTACTTGCTTGTGATGTGTTGCAATCGTCTTTGTTGAGTGCACTAAGGCACGCTAGTATGATGATCCCTACTTGTTTGTCTTTAGGGACACATTGCAGCGAGGTGATGACAAGCAGGTGATTATTGGTGATGATGGGGTGTTGAGGCTTCAGGGTGGGATCTGTGTTCCTAAGGTTGATGGCTTGATGGAGTTGATTCTTGAGGAGGCTCATAGTTTGCGGAATTCTATTCACTTAGGTGCTACGAAGATGTATTGTGATTTTGGACTTGGGCGTATGCCCAGATTTACATTTGGATGTTTCTATAAGGTTTCAGCTCTATTTGGCGAAAGTTGGCAATTTGAAGGTTTGAAAAGTTCATATGTTTGATCGGGAGTTGACTTCAATATTATTGGGTTCAGATTGTTGTTCCGAAAGTTAGAATATGTTCGTTATGTCATTTGGAACTTGAGTGCAAAGTTTGGTTGGATTCTAGATTGGTTAGACTTTAATCAGATGCTTGGTTCGAAGCTTGAAGTTTATGAACTTAAGAGAATGATCTTGATCGACGATTCATCGTTCTGATGTTATTTTTTGGGTTTTGAGGCCTCGAGTAGGTCCGTGTTATGTTTTGAGAATTGTTGGTATGTTCGTACGGGGGTCCCGGGGGGCTTGGATGAGTTTCAGGGTGGTTTTAGATCATTTCAAAGGATGATTTAATTACTGGTTTCTGCTGATTTCTAATGCCTCAGTTGTTCTTCGCGATTGTGAAGATGTAGCCGCAATCATGTAGGTTTGTAACGACCTGGCTGGTCGTTTTGAGTACTGTAGCCCCGTTCCCCTATTTATTATTTATTCTATGTTCATATATAGTTATGCGACTTGCCGGCGTGGTTGGTTTGGTTCCAGGATGTTTCGAAATGAATTGGGACACTTAGTCCTAAAGTTGGAATCCTAAGTTGAAAGAGTTGACCGGATATTGAGTTATGTCTAAACAACTCCGGAATGGAGTTTTGATGGTTCCGATAGCTTCATATGGTGATTTTGGACTTAGGAGTATGTTCGAATATTGATTCGGAGGTCCGTAGGTCGTTTTGGCTTGAATTGGCAAAAGTTGGAAAATTGAGAAGTTTGACCGAGAGTTGATTTATCGATACCGGGATCGAATTTCGATTTTGGAAGTTGAAATAGGTCTGTTGTGTCATTTACTACTTGTGTGCAGAATTTGAGGTCAATCGGAGTTGGTTTGATAGGTTTCCGCATCGATTGTAGAAGTTAGAAATCCATTAGTATCAATAGGCTTGAATTGGGGTGCGATTCTTGTTTTTGATGTTGTTGATGTGATTTGAGGCTTCGACTTAGTTTGTATCGTGTTTTAGGACCTATTGGTATGTTTGGATGGGGCCCCGGGGGCATCGGGTGTGATTCGGATCATGTTCGACTTATTTTTGGATGTGTAGGACTGATGTTATGTCTGGTTCTAGTTTCCTTATACGCGATCGCGAGGGAAGGTCTGCGATAGCGAAGGGTTGTTTGGAGATTTGTGGAAGTTAGTCTACGTGTCGCGATCATGGGCATGCGTTCGCGAAGCTTTGTGGTCTCAGATCACCGCGAACGCAAGTAGGGTTTCGCGTTCGCGTAAGAAGAGTGGTCAGCTGGGTTTAAAGCTTCAAGCCTACACAATCGCATAATTGGAGACACGTTCGCGAAAAGTTAGATCTGGTAAACATCGCCTTCGCAATTGAATCTTCGCGTTCGCGGGGTGTATTTTTCAGGGCAACATCTTTTTTTCTTGGCGTTCGTGAGGGTCTTTCTGCGATCGCGAAGAGGAGCCACTAGGCAGACTATTTAAATTTCAAAACGAGAGTTAGAGTATTATTTCATATTTGGACTTGGGGAGCTCGGCTAGGGCGATTTTGTGAGGGATTTCACTACAAATCAAGAAGTGAACTATTTTTGATCAATTTTGTCCAATACTATTGAATACCCATCGATTTCTTCACCTAGATTATGTGTTTTAAGGTGAAAGTTGAGGGATTTTGGATTAGGGATTGGAGTGTAAGTTTGGGGGTTTTAGGGTTGATTTGTGGTCGGAATTGGATGATTTTGGTATGGTTAGACTAGTTATTGAATGGGTGTTTGGATTTTATGAATTTTGTCAGGTTCTGAGGCGTTGGCCCGAGGTTGACTTTTTGAATTTGGTTAAAGAACTTAGTTTTATCGCATGGAATCAATTTCTATAGCTTGTATTGATTATATTAAGTTGCTTGTGACTAGATTCGAGTCGTTCGGAGACTGATTCGCGAGGCAAGGGTTTGTTGGAGCATTGAGTTGCGCACTTTGAGGTAAGTAACACTTCTAAACTGGGTATTGAGGGTATAAATACCTTAAATACGTGTTATGTGATTGGTGTTGGGGTGATGCACATGCTAGGTGACAGGCGTGTGGGCGTGCCCGTGATAATTATGACTCGATTTATTCTGTGGTACTGTGTAGCTATCTAATCTTGTTTCTATCCATATAATTCCTATGTGTTAGAATAATTAAGTTGTGATCCATGTTAGAAATCATATTTAGGCTATATGCTCATTATGTTGGGACCCACTAAGGTCATTTTTCCTGTTGAGTTATTTGCTTAAATTGTAATTATGTACTCAGTCATATTCATTCTT